TTATTTTTTTAATTAATCACTTGTATCCGATTTATCGATCGACTAATTAAGACCGGGTACTGCAGAGGTAATGGCCACCCTGTCAACCCAGTTAACTCCATTCACAAACGTGAGGATTTGAACCCGTTATCTTATTTAAGGAATCTAGTGTCTCATATCAGTAAATCAACTGATTATTAGTGATTTGTCGATGTTCTTTTAGAGAAGAGATTAAAATCGTTTGAAGGTATGTATTATATCTTTAATCCAAAAGATTATTAGGGCTACTATATTTTTTTCCTTTTATCTTTTTTTTTGTGTGTTTATCTCCTTGTTATATTTTTGCAGATTTAAAAAAAAAAATTGAGTTACTCTTAAACAAATCTAAAACTTTTAAATCAGATCCATGACTTGAATAATCTACTATCTTGACATGTTACAAAACATATCACAACGTTATACCTTGAACAAGTCTGAAGCTTAATTTTTTAATCATTAATAATGAATTATATATTGTAAAAGAATAAATAAACTTGGGATGATGAACTTATCAAATAACTCAATAATAAAAGAAAATGTTATCTTTAGAAGTATTGAGTTCGAACAATTACTTCTATAAAGTATTTGAATAAATATTATCTTATAAACACTTCATATTATTAAAAAAGGTATAACGCCAAAAATAACCCTTAACATTTACTAAAATGGTTATTTTGACCCTTATTTTTTTAACATTTTGGCCTCCAACATTTTTACTGTGGAGTAAAAAATTCCCTATATAGTTGAACACTATTAGTTAACACACTATTAATGTTATAAAATAAATCTTTTTAACTTAAAATGAAATGTTGGGAGTTAAAATGTTAAAAAAAAAGAATAAAAATCAAAATAACTATTTTAATACAGTTTAAGAGCTAATTTTATTATTATACCTAAAGAAACTGGGATGGTGGATAATCCAACATGGAGATCCTGTTCATATGACATGTTTTAAGAGGGATGTAGGGACATGAGATGCCCTCATTATTAATAAATCTAATCAATCAAAATGAAATTGGTTATATGTAAGAGAGGTTGGTTTTGGACATATTGGGTCAGTTTCTTGTTGTCCTTTATGTTTTTTTCCCCAAAAATTTTAATACTCTTTTTGGGCGGTTGTGTGGTGACCCATTCATCTTGAAAACGAATGATTTTATAAGTGAAAAAGATGGGTGTAGACTGACCCTTTGGGGCCTAGTCTTTGCTATTATTAACATTCACATCAACCCCCCCTTTTAATGCCTTTTCTCCGAGTTTGCGGCTTTCCCACCGCATGCTTCTTCCTTCCTTCTTTTTATATTTATATATTATAATTAAAGTAAATTGAGTTAGGGTAAACTACGTATTTAATACCTAAACTATTAATTTTAATCTGTTTTAGTATTTAAATTTTCAATTTTTTCAAAATCATTCCTAAAATTTAGTTTTATTTCATTTTTAGTACCAAAACTTAAGTGTTGAAAAAATTAAAAGTATAGGTACCAAAATACGTTTAGTACCTAAACCCTACTTAAGTTTTGAAAAAAAATAAAAGTTTAGGTACTAAAATGAACCAAAATTGATAGTTTAGGTACTAAACACGTTAGGTTTTTAACGACGGTGTACTAAAATGAAACAAAAATTAAACGTTAGATATAGTTTTGAAAAAAATTAAAGTTTAAATACTAAAACTGATAGTTTATGTACTAAACGAATAATTTATCTATTAAGGAATTGTTATTCTCATAATATATTAATTTGCATATTAGTCAATTAATAAATTAAATATTGGTTGTTAATCGGATCAAATTTAACTCAACACAAATGTGACATCGACTCTACTTGAGTTTAAAAATACTTTTATTTATTCTAAAAATTTTATTAGAAACTTATTTTTGATTCGATCCGGTTTGATATATTTTTATTTTTTTATATTTCTTTTTTAAAATAAAAGATATTTAAATAAAATACTAATTTATTTAATTTAATAATAAACAATTAAAGTACATTTTAATTTAGTACCATGATCTTAGACTTTTAGTATCTTATATGATACTTTTTTATATTTTTTTATTAAAACCTAATAATAATATATACATGCATAAAAATGTCAATTTTATAATTAGTTTAGGATAAATTTATCAAATGACTTAAATGGTAAAAGAGAATATTGATCTTTCTAGAGGTTATGAGTTTGAACAACAACGTCTATAAGATCTATGTGTATTATCAATAGGTTAAGAAAATTCTGAACAAATATTGTTTCATAATAACATCTCAAATTATTCAAAAAAATCAAGAAAAATATAACTATTTTAGGATAAGACGAGACAAGACAAATTATCTCTAAATTCAAATTCGATCAACCTAATAAAATTTTATTAAAAACTTTTAATCCCGTCGAATCAAAATCCATCGAGTATATATTTTCTGCTATCCCTAAACGTGACTTATCACCTTATTTAATAGTTATTTGTATTTATATCAAATCATTTTAAAACAAATTTAGCCGAAATTGGTCAAATTTAAATGACTCAAATACAAAATATATAATTCAAATTTAGAATAATTCAAATAAATAATTTAAAACTATTAGAAATCGCAATAATTTAAACATATAATACCATGAATTCAAAATGGCTGGATTCTAAAACCTACTGAATATGAAGCTAACTTGAACCGAAACGATCCGATACTTTATCATATTTCGGTTAACCAAACTTAAATCTAACCAACTAGCTAGCTTAATTGACGACTATAATAATAATTTAAAAAAATCAAACTTCTAATTTTATTTAAAAAAAATATTATTTCATCTTTGTTAGATCAATCGATAATCCATAAATAAACACCGTTCTTGGTTAGCTATAACACCCACAGCATGTGAAGCAGCAGTAAAATGTGTTCCTCCATTAATGTCCAAATATAGACAAAGGATAAATTTATAATAAAAAAATAGAATAAAGCGAGAAAGGTGAGAATTTTTTTTATAAAAGGTAAAGTCTAAAAAACAATATAATCTAAGTTTAAAAAATAATAAAAATAGATGCGATCGAAAATATGACAAAAAAGATAATATGATAAGTTGGACAAAACTTAAAATATGACATTTTTCATAATATTTTAAGTTGTAACCTAAAATATTACAAAAATATGTCACATTTGTGGTTGACAATAAAAAATGATATGAACAATGTCACATTTTAAATCATAACTAAAAATGTCACATTTTAAATTGTGTCTAACCTAAAATATATTATATATTTTTATCATACTTTCGATCACGCTTATGTCTAACATTTTTTATCCTTAAATTAGTAGGTTATACTGCAATACTACCCTTAAAAAAAAGAGTATCTTTCATGCAATCTAATATTCTGTAAGTGCACGTACCCCTCACATGGGAAAATAACCGCTTTAATCTTCCTACAAGGCTAGGCACTGCCTCTTGTACCCTCCCACAGCTTACAGATAATGACAGTAGTATATTATATATTCATGTGGTGCTATTAGGTCGTCAAATCCCGGCCAGATAGAAAACTCGGGTTTGAATATCGAAAATAATATTAGTAAAAAAATATATAAATTTTTTTCTTATTAATCTAAGGTAAGTAAGTACAAGATAATATCTGTTTAAAGATAATTTTTAATTATTTAACATTAAATTTTCATACCCATAACTATAAAAATAACAACAATTCTTTTGTAATTAAAATAGTTTGGTTTGTGCAAATTATATAAATTTTTAATATAATCGTAAAACAGATTTGAAAATATCATACAAAGAAAAATTCTTCATTTCTGTTGAAGATCCTTTAGTTAAATATAGTTACAACTTAACTTCCTAAAGTAGTATATATATATATATATATATTTTAATAATCTGGGTGATTAAACAATATAGTATTTGTCTATAATCTTTCTAATACATTAACAATGTATACACACTCTTCAACCACAATTACTTTAATCCATGATCTCAAGAGAGAATAATAGTCACTTTTAGGATTTTACCATTAAAGTCACTCAATAGTTTTAAATTAATTTGTACTTTAAATAACTATGTCCAATACATATTTAAATATATGTAGTATTATTTTTTAAGATACTAAAAGAACTCTTATAGATGTTTACATACATACATACAAGATTAATGGTAAAATGTATTGTATTCTTAAAGAAACAACTCATGTTCAAACTTTCAAGGTGACATAATTAAAAAAGAAAACTACATACTTCAAACATGGATCATAATTGATTCTTTTTTTTCCTTTGAATATATTCTCATTTCCTATTGTTTATCTTAGCCATCTATTTTTACTCATCCAAAGGTCCTAAATCTGTGTAAATTAAAAGAATTTTACATTGTGTAACAGGATCCAATCCCATATATATATATATATATATAGGGGTAGGATCCAATTACATTATAAACTTTTTAGTTTTACACATTTTTAGGATCGTTGGATGAGGAAAAATAAAAGGTTGAGATTAACAGTAGAAAATGTGAAGATATTCATTGGAAGAAAATAATAATAAATTAATCTCAGCCTTTGATTTCCTCTCATCCAACGATATGTGAAGATATTCACCGGAAGAGTTAGTCTCATCATATGATTTTTCTTCATCTAACGATCCTAAAAATGTGTAAAATTAAAAGTTTATACTAGGTATAAGTGAATCATAACCGATATATATAGATATCATTATCACACAAATAAAAAAAATATTAAGAACAATATTTATCATGTGATACCAGATTTAGAAGGGTAAAATAATATATTTTAAACAAACCATTGAAGTTGTTTTTGAAGATTAAAACAATAAACTTATAAGAACTTGAGAGATTATCTTCAATGATTTGTTTAAAATACATTCTAATATCATCAGAGTAATGGCATATCATATAAAATACCATGATATGTCACATGTGTCCATCATCAGAATCCCATAACTAAGAAAGAAACCCTAGAGCAATTTTTCACATACTAAAACCATACATGAAGCCAACCAGCTTACATATTCCCACCGCCTGATCTCTCGTTGTCTTCATTAGGGTCAGTCCACCGATAGGGATAATAAAACCCAGAGCTCTGATCAGCAGGCAGTGGCGGTGGAAACGGCGGCCGTGGCATTTCGTTGTAGACATATCGGATTAAGTTAGCATGAGTAGCATCCAATTCCCTTTGGAGTCTAATAACCTGTCTCTGCAGCACTGAAATAGCTCCAACGCAGCCATAAACAGGATCTTTCAGCCTTGCTTCAGCTTCAAAAGCAAGGGAGTTCACAGCATCTTCCCTTTGATAAGCTGGAACTTCATTGAGCAATTTGCTAACATTGCTTGCACCAAACACCTTGTGGACATTGACGAATTTCTGAGGCTCCTCTGGTGGGAAATATGGTGCAAAAACACAGTCCGGCATGCATTTTCGCCTCAAGAACTTGCAGGCTGCACATGGAGAACTTGAATAGCTTGAAGAAGAAGCCATATCTTCTCTACAACAAGAAATCAATTGCATAATTCATCAAGCATTATAGTTTCTCACTGTGAAGTTATAAGTGTCTATATATATATATATATATATATATATATATATATATATATATTCTTTATGAAATAGATCAAAATTTATTGGAGAAAAACACCATCTGCTGTCATCTTATTTCCCAACAAGTTTAGCTTTTTCTCTGACCTCCCAAGCAGCTCTTTTTCCAGATTTTAAATAAACTGAAACTATCCAATGAATTCAGTGATAAGAAAGAGTATTGTTATCTTAGAGGTTCTAGATTCGAACAAAATGTGTACACGTTGTTAATGACTAAGAAAAATTCTGAATATATATATACAACACTACTGTCAAAAATATATTTCAGATTAAAATTTCCCAATCTTCCAACATGATAGATCTTTGTTTTTTCATGCAAAAAAGGAGAAAATACATGATAGAAAATGATTATTTTGTCTTGAAATTCTTTGTGGGGAGAAGATTGATCAGACCTTAAAGTGAAAAAAAGACTATATATAAGGGAAAGGCTTACCTCTTTTTTCTGACCCCTTTGATAGGTTTGTCCCAATGAGAAAAGACTGTGCACCCAAAGAAGGACTAAATTCCTATAGATTAGGGTTTGTTAATGACAGGGAGAGAGTGTTTTTAAAGAGGAAACCCTAATTTGCAGAGAGGGTGGGCGGCAAAGGTAAGGAAAGATAAGGAATAAAGTGACGCAAAGAGCATTTTCTCTATCAGACAAAAAACAATGGAAGGAATAGAAAAAAGGCAAAAGATATAATTGGTGTAATAAATGGGGATCCAAAAGCATCACTATGACTATATGCATTTATAGGGTTAGTTTAACAGGTGTTTTTGTTTGTATTAGATGCTCGGTTATAACCACTTTTATTATCGACTAAATCAGATTGAGTATCACATATGTTAATTGTAAGAGCGATCCTTATAATTCAATTTTCTCTATACATCATGTTAGGATTCAAACTCCTAACCTTACTCAATAATGATAAGATGAACTAATTGTTGATAAATGCATTTACTGATTCCGTGGTATCATATTATTTCGTGCTTAGATTTAAGTTTTAGGGTTTAGAATTTAAATCTATTAATGTATTTGTATTTTGATGTCTAAATTATGCATGAATTTTTTTATAATACATGTTTAGGGTTTGCAATTGTATGTCTTAATAAACCCTAAAAAGTTGTATAATGTTAAGCTAAAGCAATAATAAAATTATTTTTAGTATTTTAAAATTTTATCATTTATTTTAATTGCACCATTGTCAACATGTATTATCTCCAAATACTGAATTTGATTTCTCATATTGGCGCGAACCAAGCGACTTCAATGGTAAAAAAATTGTTGTTATTTCTTGAGATCTCAGATTTGAGCATCACGAATGTCAGGAGTGTGAGCGTTCAATATTAAATGGCTGAAAGTAATCTTTGAACAAATATTGCTTTGTACTTACTCCAGATTAGTATAGTAGATTACTCAAGAAAAAAATTTCTCATGCTTATAATGTATTATACCTTACCATTATAAATTTTTAAAAGTATACACAGTCAATTTATCAAATAAAATCTAGTGTATAAATACCCAAAAGCATAAATGCTTATGCATGTGAATGTAAACTAATTACCTAACAATATATATAAATAATTTAATCAGCCGCATGCTCCTAGTAATGTTATTTTAGACTGATTCTGCTTTAATCGAAGATCGTTTGTCTACCTAAAGCTTTTGATCTCTGTTATATATAGTCACATACGTAAAATTTTATATCCCGAAATGAATTTATAAATTTTTAAAACAGGACAAACATATAAAGTTTTTAAAGGACAATTACTCTGCCGCTCTCCTCTTAGGTCATCCGTGACTATATATACACTTTCTGTAAAAAGCTTTGGTTCATCCGTGAATATATAGAATTATGCATTTAATACAAGATTATATATATATATATATATTATGAATTTATATTTAATGTATTGTTAATTGTAGAATCTATACGTTAAAAATAAAATTGTTATAAAATAAAGAAAGAAGAAGAAGAAGAGAACAAGAGACATAACAATAATGAGAGAAATTTATATTATATTTTCTGTATACGAAGTATATATAATAATATCTTTAAATTTTATATTTTTATATAAACAATACGAGATTTGAGAATTTTATGGTCAAATTTATTGATTTTGAATAATCAAAGACAGGTATAGAATTTAAACTTAATCGGACTTATGTCAGTACGACAAACAAAGTTAGTTGATGTCTTCTGAAATAATATTATTTATTTATTTTTGTTTAATATATTAATTAACCCAATAAAAAGATGATATGTGTCGGGGAAAAAGAAATAAGAATGTAAGTTAAAAAAATAAACTTAACTCTCTTAGAACCCAACGCCCAATTATTGGGTAAAACCGTAAAATTGTTATATATTAAATAAAACCAACAACCAGTTGGTCTAGTGAGATGAGGCACTAAATCCCTTAAGTAAGGTCAGAGGTTTAAATCCTGACGTTTGAGAATGGGGCAAACTAGGTTGAGAGGGTTGTCCATGCCTCTACAATACCCGATCCGGATTAGTCGATCAATAGATTGAAAACCGTTGGTTATACCAAAATTAAAATTCATGGAACGTGACTTGATTAAAATCATTTAAATAGTTATGTGATCATATTGACAAAATTAAAAAATGGTGGTCATATCAACACCAACCCCATAGTTAGGTGGTCCTTCAAGTAGTTTACCCTAAAATTAATATTAGCGTTAATTTGAAATTAAAATTAGTTATATTTAGTACGAGTTAATTCAAAATAATATAAGGATGCTTACCATGTTTAAACCTAGGGTAAAGTACATGTTTAGTACTCCAACTATACCTTTTGTTTCGTTTTGATGACTCAACTATTTTTTGTTTTAAAATCATACATAATGCTTTTGTTTTAGTTTCATTTTGGTCACTTGTCATTAAAAATTTATTGGTAATATTGACGTGTCATCATAAGATAATGTCATGTAATACCCCAAATTTTGGCTAGTGACTAAAATGTAACTTTTAAAAGTTTAGTGGCCAAAGTATAAAAATGGGAAAAGTTCAAAGAAATAAGTGGTAATTTTCCCAAAAAGAATTTTTATTCCATAAATGGATAGTTTACTATTGAAAGTGGAGTTTTATTGAAATTAGATTCTTGATCTGGAATTTATGCTGAAAACTAGAAAGAGTTAAAGTCCGATAAAAAATCGGTAAATCAGATCGAATAGAAATTTCGGGAAAAATTGAAGGATGATAAATTAGACTTGAAAATATTATTTCCACATTTTAAAATGATGGAAAATAATATAAACCATTGTATTTGAGGATTTAATTCCATGTAAAATTTGGACCGTTGGATTAAAGTGGCAAGATTGTAATTTTTAGGAGATTGCAAGGGAAAAATGGTAAAGAGGGAAATAATTTGTTCATGTTTGACTTTTGGAAGATGTTAAGGTTTCTTGGTTTTATGGTAAATATGAAGTTTCATTAAGGGTAATTTGGTATTTTCTCAATTAAATGAATAAAATGTTCATCTAAGTTAAATTAAAGGTAAATTAACATGAAATTTACCTAACATTTGATGAAACTTGTTCATCTTTTTTCTTCCAAGGTCGTGAGCTTCTCCATAAGGTGACTATCCTCGGAAGAGGATACTTGTTTTTTATAGTCACTTTATCGGTATATATTATTGGCTTGTTTGATCAGCTTAAAGGAGAAACAATTTTCTCTAAGATTGATATTCGATCAGGATATCACTAGTTGTATATTAAAGAAGAAGATATTCCAAAGACAGCTTTTAGAACACGGTATTTGCACTGCGAATTGTGGTGATGTCGTTTGGTTTGACCAATGCTCCGATAACATTCATGGATTTGATGAACTGAGTATTTCAGCCTTATCTGGATCAATTCGTAGTTGTATTTATTGATGACATTCTAGTGTACTCACAGACAAAGGAATAACATGATGCTCACCTTCGTACTGTGCTCGGGATTCTTAAGGAGAAAAAGTTATATGCCAAGCTATCAAAATGTGAATTTTGGTTATCAGAAGTTACTTTTCTTGGTCACGTGGTATCGACAGAAGGCATAAGGGTTGATCCTAAGAAAGTTCAGGCAATAGTGGAGTGGAAACCCCAAAAGAATATTATAGAGGTTCAAAGCTTCTTGGGAGTTGCTGGATATTATCGAAGGTTCGTGAAGAAATTTTTGATGATTGCTTCTCCACTAACCGAGCTCTTGAGAAAAGATGTCCCATTTATTTGGATAGAGAAGTGCCGAGAGAGTTTCAAAACTCTAAAGAAGGTTTTAACGGAAGCACCAGTGCTGGTACAACTGGAATATGGTAAAGAGTATGTGGTGTATAGCAATGCATCTCATAATGGTTTTTGCTGTGTACTTATGCAAGAAGGTAAAGTTGTAGCTTATGCTTCATGACAACTAAAAACGCATGCCATAAATTATCTCACACATAATCTTGAGTTGGCAGCAGTGGTGTTTGCTCTAAAGATTTGGCACCATTATTTGTATGGTGAGTGGTACTACATCTACATGGATCATAAGAGTCTAAATTACCTGTTGACTAAAAAAGAACTAAACCTGAGATAGAGAAGATGGATAGAACTCTTAAAGGACTATGATTTGATCATTAATTATCATCTAGGGAAGGCAAATTTGTAGCTAATACACTTAGCTGAAAGACTTTTGCAGCTTTGCGAACTTTAGATACGCGCTTATCTTTAAAGGAAAATAATGCACTATTGGTTGAATTAAGGATAAAGTCGATGTTTCTAGATCGGATAAAAGAGCTACAAAAGAAATATGGGAGATGCTTGGAAAAGATGGCATAAGTGGAAAATTTTTCAGACTAAAGACTTTGAAGTCAAGTCTGATGGATATCTATATTATCGAGGAAGAATCTACATTCCACATGATGATTAGTTGAAGGAGGATATTCTTTCTAAGGCGCATTATAGTCCGCTGACTATGGACCCAGACGGGAACAAAATGTATTAAGATTTAAAGAGTCAATATTGGTGGTCGGGTATGAAAAGATCCATTACTGAGTTTGTTGCTAGATGTCAATAAGTAAAAGCTGAACATCAAGTGTCTTCGGGATTGTTGCAACCGATTTCAATTACAGAATGGAAATGAGAAAGAGTCACTATGGATTTTGTTACATGGTTACCTTTGACACCAAACAAGAAGGATTCTATTTGGTTTATAGTTGACCGGTTAACTAAGTCGGCATATTTCATTCTAGTGGGAATGAACTATTCATTAGATAAGTATGCAGAGTTGTATATAAAAGAGATAGTTTGACTGCATGGAGTGCCAATATCGATAATATCTGACAAGGATCCGAGGTTCACATCAAGATTTTTGGAATTCTTTACATAAAGCTTTGGATACTCGATTAAACTTCAGTACGACCTTTCATCCGCAGACTGATAGTCACTCAGAACGGACTATCCATATATTAGAGGATATGCTGAGGGCATGTGTGATTGAGTTCAAAGGATCATGGGAAAAGTATTTGCCTTTAGCATAATTCGCCTACAACAATAGCTATCAATCAAACATCAAGGTGGCTCCGTACTAAGCCTTATATGGGAGAAAGTGCCAAACGCCATTAAATTGGTTCAAGTTAAAAGATAAAGATCTTGTTGGCCCTGATTTAC